TCTTTTATGGGATCTACTCCTCTCCTTACATTGTGAGGCATCTCTTACAAATTTTTTAAAAAAATGTGTACACACATCGTATTCCAGTAGGTATAGAACAGTATAGATAGAGCTACTTTAGAACATGCTCTTTAAATAAATGTTTATGAGGTATCGCATCTTTGGAGAGTCCAAGAACGTTTTTTTTCTAAATCTTATTAGTTTTTTAAAACACAAAAGGAGTGAATGAATATAGATAGTGCCATTTAAGGAACAAAATGAGACTGTATAATGTTATCATATGTTTTCCTGATAACTGACCATAGTTTTCCAAACCAGATAATATTTTCATAAGACTGAACACTGGGAAGTTAGAAGTCTATTTGGTTGAAACAGGTTGGAAATTGTTTATTTTACCTATCAAACACATGGTGCTCATCACCTTTATTATCAACAATGAGGATGTTTGAAAGCAAGAATGAATTACTAGTTAAAACGGTGTTAACCAAAAGAAAAATATCAGCATGGTTACAATGCAAAACATCAGCACAGTTAATAATTTTTTATATACACACACACACATATATATATGTGAAGTTTCACACTTACATATGCAGGTTCTCTGTAATAATACTCAGAGCAAACAGGCCAATTGATTGCATTTTATTATGCCTGCAAGTCAGGAACAGGCACAGGAATTCACCCACATACTGAGGACCAAGGTTTTGCCACCTAATGAATATAAAACACAAGAATAACTATTTCATACATGAAGAAAAAAATACACAGATCCATTTCACTCAATCCGGTCACCAGTGGTGACTGAGAACAGATTCTTTGAAATGAGATTAGAACAGGACACACATCTTCAGGTTTCTTGTTATATGATCAGCTGTATCAGGTCAGCTCAGTGGCTCCCTAGCCCAGTATGGTGCCTCTTGCAACAAGCAGGGTGCTTATCCTGGTGTCCAGCAAGCCAGACACGTAGAAGGGGACACCCTGGACACCTTTTGTTTAAAGGAGGACAGCTGCTGAAGAACAATTCATACAGATCTGAGAGTAATTTAGTCTCTTCAGGGGATACTCTCCCCATCTTCAGGTTCACAGCTCCAGGATCAACTCTTTGCTCAGGAGTGCTGTTTCCATGCTAGTCCTACCTGATAATCCTCCAAATTTTTTCGAATTGTTTTTCAATCTGTAAAGTGTTTATAGTTTTAGCTGTGAACAATAGTGCCCACAACATCCTGCATGAACCAAATCCACAGCTCTGTTGCATATACACCGAGCTGTAAGCTTTGAGGAGCATAACCTCAAAGGGCTTTGTTTTGTCACATTAGATTCTCTTTATGCTCCGTAGGTATCGCAGGAATAACCAGAACCATGAGCTCTTGATTCTTCCAAAGCTGGCCATTTTCAAAGTTTGCGGATTATATCTAATAATTACTAATTACTAAATATCTAATCATTGCTAACCATTACTGCTGAGGGACCACTACTAACATTTCCACAAATGAGCAGCCAGACTTCAGGCAGCAAAAGCTTACTCACAGTTTCAGCATCGTCACTTTTCGACAATTCAGATCTCTCAATATTAAGTTGACAATACCATGGAGAAGGTGTTCTTCATAGCAAAGATGATCTAATAATAGTCTCAGACCCCAAAAGTTATTCTACAAAGGCACAAAATTAAAAAAAAAAAAACACCTAGGATTTAACCTCTGCAACAGTAATTTCTTAAGAAAAAACAAACAAAACACCCACAAATAGAAATTAAGTGTCAGCAAAGTTTAAATAAAATAAAGAAATAATTAAATGCATCTAAAACCATGGATTTGGACATGTCACTTGCTTTAATCTGTTAGACAGAACTCAATACCTAGAACTTACCCCAAATGCCAGGGCAATCTCTAGGAAAGAAGTCAAGTATGGAAGCTCACAGAAAACCATCTGCTGCACTGCTCGCACTGCAAGAATAAGACAAGCCTCACGGTGCAACTGCAGGAAGAAACATCAATAAAAGGTTCATATATTTAAAAGCCCAGTTTCCCGCTATTTGACCACTGCATCTAATCACATTGCCAGAAAATCACTACCATTCCAGTCAGAAAGGTTGGATGTCACTCTCAGCATGTAGAAGACTTTGAAAGACCAAAAATAGGAAAACAGAGTTCTTCATTTATAAATCATCTTCTACTCCATTCTGTTCAAGTCCTCATAAAAACTTGAGGTTTCACATCTCTGCTTCAGTAAGGCAGAACGATTAAGTAGAAAGGGAAGTTCTGGGAGTCAGGTAGGTGCAGAGCAAGTTAAATGCAATTTCCTCAAAGAAAAGAGCAAGTCAAACAGGCTGGTAGGTAGGTGACTGCATCATCTCCATTCCAAACAAACAACTATCCATTGTGTTTTTCCAAATCATTTTGACTTGCATATTTCAGATTAGAAAACATTCTGACTGTATTTAATAAGCCTTTCTAAACATCTTTAGAGATACTCCACTACAGTTAAAACATCTTTCAAAAAAGCTTGGAAATTCCACGTTATTCTGATAGTCACAGATATATCTGGAGACAAACCACACTGCAAGTCTCAAAAAACGCTTCCAATACGAATCAAACAGTGCAAGATGACTCAATCTGAAATGTAAATAAAGGATTGAGAACTGCCAAATGCTGCATTTTGTAAGTGTGTAAATTTGGACAGCTGGGGATTAAGATTTTTGCCTGGGTTGAAGGCAGTGTCACACCAGAACAGTCTATAGGCTGTTTACTTTCCAATATTTTGTCTACCTTTCAGGCTGTGTTAAGAATAGCCTTATGCCACTTTTCAGAAATCTTCAAGTTCATTCCTAAAAGTTCATCACAAAAAATCCAACTGTTTGCAATATGGCAAGTACTTAAAAGTGCAATAAAAAAAAAATGACAGGTTTTATTACCATGTGCACAGTTACCTGAGGAGAGAAAATGGCAGATGGTAAAGAAATATTAACTTTTGCCTTCAGTTCATCCAGAAGATGACCACTGGCAGCCAGCACCTCCTGCAAAAATAGTAATAAGTCAGAAGCAGAGAAGGTCGCCCAGGTGTTCTACGTATAAACACTGCTCAAGACAATTCTGCAAAGTACTACTTCAATGTGCATGTATCTTTTGTAGCACCCTTTACAGATGAAGCTGATTTTTCAATAGTATCCCCAGGCAACACTTCTTTGCACTTACCAGTGACTTATCTGCACTGCACTTAGGATATAAGGAACTGGGGATAGGAGCTTCTCAGCAGACCATGTGCTACAGGCACAGATCACCTTAGCTGTGTTAGCTATATCCTAGCAGGTACAACTTCTACACATTTCAATACAGTCCTAAAGAACTCTTACATTTTCCCCCAAGCATCAAAGCTTTATGCTCAAGGTAAAGTGAGCCAAGCTAAACAGCTTTCACTAGAATTTAAGCACGGGTTTTACTGCATGTTTGCAGCAAATCTTGTGTGAGGACAGCTGCTGTCAAGAGGGGATTTGCAGAGTCAGAATAACTGACATTCAAGTCAAACAACATTTTGCATGCAGAGATTAGATTTGCACCAAATAAAGCCTTATAAAGTGAGGCCAATAAATGCTTCCATTTTATGGTATCTTTCTCAGTTACCTCTTGGAATTCCAGTGGTGGCTCCTTCAGTGACAAGGGATGTAGGTATCCATTTTTTCCCAGCAAACGACTGCTGCCCAAAATCATGATGAGAGAACTCCAGCATTTGGGCTGAAACACAGAAGAACTTTTACTTTATGAAGCCACGTCAGTCTTTCAGCCAACCAGATTGAACTAGGTAAACAAGTTATCCAAAATAAAACACATACATAAACCAGAACCTTTAGACAAGCTGACACATATTCACTATTTTCAGAAGAGCTAGGTTTTTACTTTCCTTAAACTGACCAAAGGAAAAGTGCCTTCTCCAGTTCCCTAAGTAATGGGAGCATGTTACTTGTATATGCTCAGATTGGAGAGTACTGTTGGGGCTCCCCATTCTGAAATTCTGGAAGAGGTAAAGCATCTCCAGCATTTTGTCTCATCTGCAGGTGAAGGCAGTGCTTTCCTGACCTGCTGTGCTTCTATTCTATGGCTCAAGAGTAGAGCTGTAGCTGCTGTTAATTACAGCCCCACC